CACTTTTCTTGATTAATGGGGAGTCTTTTTTTTCCAGTCAAGAATACTTTTTCACAGAACACAAATATTATAAAATTTCACTTTTTGGAACAAGGTTGATGCAGCCTTTTTTGACTGAAAGTGAGTAAGGATGAAATACAACAAAAGTTTTGCATTTAACTACAGTTCTATGAATCCTGGATGACCGAGTTCTTGGTCACTCAGAATCCCGTCAACTTGCGAGAAGATTCCATAGGACCGATCTCAGGATGACACCGGAACTTACGGACGACGGGGATCATCCAAAATCACAGGTGACTTTGTTGGTACAAAGACTTGACCTGTGCAAGCTTGAGACAGAAGATAATCCAGTGTTAAGTACAGACTCTGGCAGTCATCTAGTATTCATAGAACCGTAGTTACATGCGTAACTTTTGTTGACGGCCTCAGAGCACAGCGAAGTTCAAACAGCATTGGCTCCTCGGGTACGTTATGGTGGAACTGACATGGTTCTGATGATGCTCCTGTAACTCTGGCAACAAAGCTGAGCGGTTCAAGAGAGGAGAGTCTCCTGACACCAGCATGACTGACAGCTCCCGGGTTGTCATGGACAGCGAGGGGATTCCAGCACGATGCACCCCGTGATTTGTTTGATGGTTTGTGTGATTGATATGATGGTGATGTGGTTCATTTCAAAGTCCCACTCTCAGTTATAAAATCATAACTCTTGTAATAACTATTGGTGGATATTTTGACGAAAATAATAATTCATGTTAAATCATCATTTGTTAAAAATCAATAGGGTTTTTACACAAAAAAGAGACATTATAAAACTATCCTTTACAAGATTAAAATAAAAAATGAACAATTTAATTAATAAATAAACCCCTCTTTTTACGTACACACTAGCTAACATTAGCCTAGTTTGTGCAGCACACAGAGCTGCCAACTCTCACGGTTTCGCCGTGTGACACAAAGCGTGTGAAAACATGAAAACTGTTTCCATATGCTTTGGATTTTGGTCCGTTCGTTCCTTTTCAAACTCCCCGACGGTATATGGCTCTAAGAAGCGCATCTTCAACCCTGTTCGCTGGATAGACATCCTTTCTTAACACCTAAGACGGCGGGAGAATAGACTCGGGAGACGGACGAAGGAGTCCTGACTTACGAGTACGGTAGAACAAACGGAGAACGGTCATTTCCGCAATTGGAACGGCAGCTGACTCGATGACGTCACTGCATCCCTGGTCTTGCTAATAGAGTTCTTTACTGTACTTTACTGTGTTTAAGTCATTTCAAATCCCCCTACCTCTGATGATCAGTGGTGATGTGTAACATTTTTGATTTTAAATCATTTAGCCGCTATGTATGGTTAATTGTAAATGGAATAGGATGCAATCTGCCTCTGAGCCTGTGTGTGTGTCCTCGTCCTTCTTATTACTCCTTTAAAGTGATGTAACTGGAGTTTGTTCTAACTTTGTTGCAGTGTTTCAGGTTATTGATGTAGTTGTTTTGCTTTGTGCTGATTCAGAAGTAATATGATACAATGTTGCATTTGCCCCTTTGTTCGGTCTGTGTTCAGACTGCAACAAAAAAAGTCCACCAGCCGACACTGCACCAAAGGTTTCACGCAGATAGATTTTTTGACATTTCTGTTGTTGTTCTGTGGTGCTCAAATAATCCAGTTCGTCTCCAGAAACCACAGCTATGTCATCCAGCTTGTTGTTTTTCATAAGTAACTCTTTCTACTTCACGAATAGTTCATTCCGAGGCTGCGTTCAAGACAAGAATGGTGGAAGTAACTTACCGACAGCTGCTGTTTCCCCAGAAAATGGAATTTATTTTAATCAATTCAATGTTTTTTTTCTTTTAAGTTAAGTTTGCTTAACGTTATGTGTTGCTCACACATACAGTGACTGCAAACATAGGTGTGTTTAGTGACTTCACTACTAAATCACCAAGGAAGTGTCACTATGTTGTATGTCAAAATCTGAAAATAGATAGAAGATGATTTTGTGTTGTATTTTAAGATTAAAATGGCAGAAACCTGAAAGGATGACAGAGAAAATGTAATTACAGGCTGGGTAAAGGTAAAGCCAGATTAAGCGTCATGGTGAGAGGATTAAGGGATTTTAAAGCTTCTTCTTTTGTTCCGTTTTCTACACATAATACTGCAAGCCATAAACGCTAACACCTTCCATTCATCCACACAAAGGAGAGGGTGGAGCTGGCTGTCTGCACAATACAAGCGCAGAGCAACAGGTGAGGGAGGCTCTCATGCCAGGAATAGAAACACATTTTTGCGTTGTTTAGCTGAAGGTGTTGGCAGTATTTGCATACCTCTGCAGCATCTCAACAAGTTTGCCACCACCCAAACATTGGGTGAGTAAGAACAGTGGCGTGTGATGATTAATGCCCAGCATCTCGATACTGTAACTGAGACTTTCAGTGTGCTAGTGTTTGACATTGCCATGCACAGGGCCACCCGTCTCCTAGGAGAGCACACCCACAGGCGGAATCCACACTCCTCTGAGTCACTCAGGACAGGTATCTGTGTGGATTATCTTCCCGTTGTAATCGGTCGGTGCACCCACATGACTTATTGGTTTACTCACTCATTTCCTTTTACATATGACAAACTAGGAAGCAATTCACATTTCACAAGAATCCCTTCTCACTCCCAGTGGCTGGTTCAGTGGCACCCTTTAGCATTGCATTTCAACCACATCCTATGTGTCGTGTCATTATTATGGTCAGAGCAACTGACTTTGTGTTATATATATATTAGTGTATGAATAAAAGACTGTGTAGGCCCACCGGGAGTTAAGGTTTGAGGGGTTAAACAAACACAGGACATTCCCCCACCATTCATATCCTGTGTGACGCGCCTGTTACGTAACAGAGGTACTCATTTTTAACCCAAACCACAATATTTTCCTGAGAAAATTGCATTAGTTGGAAATGTGAATGTTTTGAACCCTGCTGACAAACGTCAACTCCAGCATCTATCTTGAATCACACTGGAATTTTCTTCAGTGATGAACATGACCGTACGAGGGTGTGTTGGTAAAACAGTTCTCAGAGGTTTTTGGGGGTTTTTTTACCCCCCAAAAAGACATGTACAGTATGTCACAAACCGAGGTCATTCAGAGCAGCCTACAAGCTACTCCAACAAAAGTCCCAGTGGGGTTCTTTCTAAACATAATCAACTTAGACGCAGGAATCTCCTGGGCCCAGACTCTGGCCCTCTGGTTCTGCACAATGTTAAATAACAGACATCTTGAGAGAGGCTAAGGGCCTGAAAAACCTGACTACTACCCAATGTTAAATCCTTCAGCTTCCTCAAAGCAAAAAAAACAAACATTAAACGCCTGGGCGCCTCTCAACAGCAAGCGAGGGAGATAAAACCGAAACGTCAAATAGGAAAAACATCACAAAGTTTCCCCCCCCACCCCTTCTTTTCCTCTTTCTCATTAAAGTGTGTGAGCAAGACGCAATGGAATGACAGACAACCATGACGAGCGATGGGAGCCTCGCAATTGGTTTTCTCTTTTTGTTTCCTGCTTTTCTGCTTTTTTTCAGTGGCTTCTCAGGCAGTATTTTCTTCTGATAAACATGCAGGAACCGAGATGCAGTGGGGTGGAAATGTTTTCAATTTCAGCTGCAGCAGAGGGCTATGAAGACAATCTGGTTAGAAGTGATGAATTCATAGCCAGTGGCTTTAATATCTCTAATACTGGTGATGTGGCAAAGAAAAGATCGCTGTATTCAATAGTAATAAAAAAAAAAAAGAAAAATACTGTGGTTTTGCTCTCCATTAAGAATTTTTAACTGCAGCTTTTAGCCATAATGTGCCTCTCAGGATTAACTAAAGAGCTTTTTACGGTTATGGCCTCAGAGTTTAAATGTACTGAATATCAAATACCATCCAACGCTGATTACCACAACATTAGCAGAGGTATGGCCAATGAGAGGAGTTATACAAAAACAAAGAATATTGCAGCAGTTCAAGGAACCTTATTTTTGATACTTCCAACCTCGTCACAAGGTTTTAATCTGAAGGTCAGTGTTTCAAAATTTGGCAGAAAGCAAATACAAACCCAATGGCATAGTGTTGATGCTGAGCTAGACTTTGGGGAAGAATGCTGGATAGCTGGATGCTTGGCCGTCACAGGTATTATCTTGCCTGTTTTCTGCTGACTTGGCCTGTACTCTATGGCTGAACAGAGTAATGGGGGCCAGGTGATAGAACAGATTTGAGTGCAACAAACTTAAAGGGCCAGAACATCGATAGATTCATTATGATGTATAGATCTAAAAATATGGAATATCTTACTAAAAATAACTTCCATAAGGCTTACAAGCATTAAACTGTGGGCTCACTTTGAGGGCCTCAAATATGTCGGCATGGGATGCAGCCCTCATCGCTAAACATGTCGTATATCTGTGTGATTTTTTGTGGATAATGTTAAGTCTAAACTTACATGACTTTAACATGAAGTCTGGTGGCAGAACCCATTTACAAACCTGGGGCATGGAGACTGAAATACATGGGTATTTATCAGACGGAGTGAAATTGTGGGAGGCATCACCCCAGAAGTCAGATAATACAACTCTGCCTTAAATCTTTTGGAGTTTTCAAACCCCAACTTTACAAAATGAAAGTGCTCAATGCTGCTATTTACAATGGTTTGCTTTCAAAAGTGTGGAAACAGTTTGTGGACCACAAAGCCTGCTCCGTAAAGAAGTTTTGGGACTGGGAGAAGATCCTGCAGCCTGGTCTCAATATCTTGTGGGAAAACATGGTTTCTTACTTCAGTTTTTATATATACAAAACATTCAGTGCAAATATGAGGAATATCTTCGGTAAATATCATATGCCACATGACGCAATTTTAATCTCCGATAAATAAGTAAATGAATCTGTATTTTCAATTATTCTACTTCTAGGTGTCAAAATGTAAATAATAGACATTATGCAATTAAATGTTATGGAAGGAACAGAGCAACACAGGCATACAGCGCGTCCATAGGAAAAACATTTTATTGAAAAACATTTTCAGTTTGTAACAGACTGGTGGAATGTGTGTCATCTATTCTCACTTTGAAGTTGTTTTAAATTGTTGAATGTTAAAACCATTTTTTCCCCGCCTGGTCATCTCACACTGCAAAGAAAGGAAAAACAGGGCTACAGCCACCCGGTAACCATGACGTGACTAAAGAAAACAAGGGGTGGACCAACAAAGAATGCAAATATATAATACTGTGTTACTTAAAAACTGGACTGAAGTTAAATCATAAACACAACAAAAAAGAAAGGAAATGAACTAATTCAATAAATATTTATGGTACACACTTATGGCACAAATATGCAGCAGTCAGTTTGGCAACTTTTCTCTTTTTTTTTTTAAACCAAATTACCATGGAAACAGTGCAAAAGGGGAGGGAGTGGGGAGGACACGGGCTCGAGCGCTAGCTAAAATACATAGCAAAAAATTCAAATTTTATACAAAACATCTTGCTTTAAGAGTTTATAAAAAAATGTTTTTATTGGGTTCTTCTGGTCAATATGTACATAAGCTATATACCAAAAAAGTAGTATGCTCTGTTTTACTGGTGTATTCCATTCTTCTGCACTATTTTTCTCCATTAACTTTCCTAAAAAGGTGAATAAGGCTATTGTAACAACCCAGGATCCATATACAATACAAACATTAATGTATTTACAGTTTCTTACCTACAGAAGTACGGTGCAAAATTACTGAGTCAAGTGACCAAGGGCTTACCATACGAGCAAGGCATTTTACAGTAGCCTGAGGTGCTTCTCCCAGCCTTCAGGACTAAGACTCTCACAGCATCGCTACAACATTTCATAATAGGTCGAATCAAACCTGGTCAATGTTGGGAGAGCGTTAGTCGAGTGGCAGCTAAGAAAAGGACGTCAGATTCAAATAAACTAATAAGATTGTCATATTCTGCCGCAGACAGAGCAACTAAACAGCCATTTCTTTGTGGTATGTGTGTGTGTGTGTCTTCTTTCCATCTTTTTTTGAATACCTGTCTAGTTTTGATATATATGCTTTTTAATGGTTTCATCTTTCACAGTTTACCATTGTACTACGGCACATAGTTCAAAAAGAAAAAGGTTAAAATAACACTACAAATAATGCAGGAAAGAAAAACTAACAGCAGGCTTGTGTGACATACTTTGCTAGTTTTGTGTCATTTGTTTGTTGTTACATCTTTCAGTGGTTAAGAACACTTTCCATGGGTGTTTTTTTTCTCAGAATCGATTAAAAAAATAAATAAAAATTGCATATTTGCAGATTTTGTAGCCTCTCAGAGGCACAAACCTCAGATCATACAAGGCTTGGCTTTTCGGTGAGATTTTGAAGTTCTTTATGAACAAATGATGATGATGGGCTGATGCATCGCATCCTCTGGAAACAGCTTACATCATGATTATGATCCTAAGCCAAAGATATTAATGGATGTAAATTCCCGGAAATATGGACTTGTTCAACACGCGTGTGCACACATGGAAAAGACAACATGAAAGGTGTGTATGAGGAGAGTTGAGAGCGCTGGGCGTTCCTTTGGGAGATGCTAAACTGAGTGAGAGTGGGAGACCCAGCTACTCGGCCCCTGTGTACACCAATGTGAGCTATTTCGGGACAGATAGGTCTACTCCTCCTCGGCTCGGGGCCCCACCCCTGGTCCTCTTTCCCAGCCTCTGTGTCTGTGGACAAGAGCTCATGAAAATGTGGGAGATATGAAATAATCAAAAACGTAAGATTGCATAATGTGCACTTCTACTATAATATATTAACATTACTTCTTATTCTTTTTCATCTTCTCCAGACGGCCTGACAACACCTGTGCTCTGTGTTTATCTTAAATAAATTCTGCTTTTTATTTCTACTTCGTAATGTCCTTTTTTTCTATGTACATGAATTATGTGAAAAAGAGAGAAGTAAATCAAATAATCACAATATGGAAATGCTAATAGAGAGAAGGAAACAGTGACAATGTAAAAGACGTCCCTGTGCTTTATTTAAAACAAGAGTAGGACAGCACCGGCTACGCTGATTCTGGGGCCTGAGGGGCCCCTGATTCATCATTGGACCCCTGGGGGCAAACATTACAGTACCTAGAGCTGTCTCAGCCAGCTACGCTAACTTCAACTAAATCTCGGGTCTCTTTTTCAACTGATGCGAAAAATGGCAGTAAGGCGAATTGGATTTCTTATTGCCCACAATACTTTCTCGTCTGAAAAGCCCAGGTAGTAGAGAAGTTGAGGCGAGCCCTTTCTAGTAAATCTGACGGGATTCAGCTGCTCACCCATCTCAAGCTGTCACCGTGTCTCTCTCCAACTGCTGTGAAGAGTGGAGGTACCAAAATGGGGTTAAAAGTGCAGCTCTATGCATATGAAAGTCCTCCACTCTTCCAGACAGAGCTGACACACGCCCTATTCCCTGGTGAGGGTGCGCAAATTGAAACAAATCCTGCTCACACTCTCGCCGCTCCTGACAGCCACTGGTAACTTTACTTGTCACTAAAGAAAAAACTACACATGGATATGAAAACCATACGAACAAACACAAGATCAGTAAATGCTTACAGTACAAAAAATAATAATCTTCCTTCAGACCTTCAAATATCTTTTGAAAGGAGTTATTTGTTAAAACATATCTGAGAGGAATGGTGCAATCCACACTTCGACCCCAACAGTTCACTATGACTGGTGGGACAGTGTGTCTGTGCATGTGGGTGAATGTGTGTACTTGTGATGGTGACATGTGGGTGGCAGGTGAATGGTGATCTCTCTGAGTCTGTCAGGAAAGTTCTAGAGAGAATCTCTCTCCTTCCTCCTTGTCCGACTGATAAACTCAGAGTCTCTCTGGGTAGTGGGAGGGCGGCCATTTTGTATGTTCAGTCAGCCAGTATTCTCCTTTACATCTCCTCACTCTTTCTTGTCTCTTTCTCTCTCTTTTTACAAGAAGTAGTCTCTCTTAGGGTGAAGCCACATATTCCTTCCCCTCCTCTCATGCCAGCAAACCTTTATGTTCATAAAATTGCCCATCCGTTCCATCCCAGACAAAGAAAAAGCTGTGCATCCATCTGACTCTGATCCCACAACTCTCCTGCTCCCACAAAAACCAAGAGCAGCATCGGGGAAAGAAGAGATCGTCCTGTCTGTTTCCAAAGAGCCTCAGAGAGCAGCAGCAGTAGACATCTCTTCAGTCCTTCATCCATCCGGTCCACACAACTGGGACCAAACGGCAGCGACAAGGTATCAGCATTGAGCTTTGATAAAGAAAGTTGTGACAAAAAATCGGAGACAAGGAGGTGTTGACGAATAGAGAAGGAGCGAGAGTGAATGCGGACGTGCGATTGGCGCCAGCCGAAACTAAAAACTCTCTCTGCCTGGGATTGTTCCAGTTTGTATCCTGTTTTGAAAAGTTCCACCTCAGACCTTGTAATAAATGTTGGCTGGGCTCTGTGGCGGCATCTCCTGAACTATGTAGACCGGGTGGCCGTAGTCACCGCTGACCTTCTCGTAGTGCGGGCAGAAGACGCTGTCAGCAGTCCTGAGGGGGATGATGATGTCGCTGGGCTCCGAGCCGTTATTGTTCCCACCGCCTCCGCTCCGTTTGGGCGTGGCCAGCGTGCTCAGAGACAGTGTGGCCGCGTGCTGGGGCGAGTGCTTGCGGTGCCGCCTCCGGTACTTGAGCAGTAGCAGGACCAGCATGATGATGATGATGATGAAAATGACGCTGCCTGAAGCTATGCCAATGAAGATGGCAACCTCGGAGGCCATGATGCTGGAGGACTTCCCGCCGGCATTCTCACTTTCTCTGGACGCTACACCTGGAAGACAGAGAGAGGCAAACGTGAGTAAAATGATTAAAATGAGCTGTGTGTTCAGACCTGTAAACCTGGAACTATATTGAAAGTCAAGGGGTATGTTCAAATCAAACCGCTTTGTCCCATCATGTCTGAAGGCATTAAATGGAGAGTTGATTAGCATCCAAATGGGGACAACAACATACTGGCACCAGGCCGATCTCTCCATGAAGCTGTCCACGTATCAGATCACCGTGTCAGGAGAGTCAATCTCTTATCAATTGCCGCGTAAAGTAGACGTGATTTGAGGATTTAGAAAGTTACAAAACTAGTGATTCACCGGTGCACAATTCTGACAACAGATACCAGTTCTAGGCTTGAAAAATTAATTCTGTTCAGAATTCTACTGGCGCCTACGAGGAAAGAAAAGGAAGCAGCTTTTTTGTCTTTTCCTGGCTTTCTCTCTCATTCTTCCCAATCGTTTCATCCTGTCACAGTTAAGGTTGTTGTCTTGAACTGGCCAGCATCACAGCATCTGAGACGGCCGATAAAGGGCTTCTTTATAAAGGTCACGATCGATGGCTATTCAAATTCCGCCGGAAAAGCCTTCAACCTTGAAGCCTGATAGGGGATACCAGGGCTGGGGTAAGCAAATGGCACTTAAATCAATTAGATTTTGAAAGTACAACATTTTCTAGCTAAGAGGGTAAATATGACCGAACAGATTTGATGCCCTTGTGCGGCATTAATTATGAAACCCAAGATGGGCATTCAGGTTGACATCCAACACCTCAAGGAGGGGTGTGGTTTCTTGTGTCTCCCCGTCTGCCGCTGTTCTCCTGAGAAGCCTGCTGTGGTCGGCGGAGTGGATACAGGATGGCAGGCGGACTAAAGCAAGAAAGCTCGCGTTTTACATAAAGATTACGCTCCATCCCAGCAGCTACTGGGCATCAGAGTACTATGGGCAGAGCGTCAGAGGCATAAAAAAATAAAATATATTATTATTCACAATCTGCATGCTCAACATTGGGTGAGGCCACGCCTTGAATTAGCCAGGACACGAGTGGGAAGCAACGGAAGATTGTTAGTTCAGCTTGTTTTTGTTCATGGGCACTTCCTGTTTCGTTTTTTCTGAGAACAGCTCACTGCAGAAATAGTTCCTGGGAGATTTTTAAATGCATTATGATAGTAGAGATAAGAGCGGCCTGCACTTAGCCACAGTTGTCATTGGGTGTAGAAACAAGTGCACGTCTGTACAAAGAGCAGTTTGTTAATAAGATGGCAGACAGTGATCCGATCATTTACTGAAAATGTCATTTGAGGCTGTAATGTGGCCAGTGTGCAGATACCTATAAGTCCTTGAGAGGCCGGAGATGTCTCTCACTTTTATAGGCAATATTCAATTACTGGCTGATGAATAGCTGATCTTTCTTTCCTTCGCTTTCACATGCACACCACCACCACTCTTTCAGTAACATACTCACACATTCCTCTACTTAGCGTTATCTGCTCTTAGCATGCCGAACAATCTACCGCCCACATGCCAAACTGTGTTGATAATTCCTCTCCGCAATTACCAATTTCCTTGGATTTAGTTGGGAAACTCACCTGGTTTCTCCATCACATCGTTGGTGTTGAAGGGCTCCTCCTTGTTCTTGGGCGAGTAGGGTACCCTGGTGGGGTTGTCTTTGGGTGAAATAGGGTCCGAAGGATCTGAAAAATGCAAAAAAGACACATTAAATTGATGGGGAATTCATCTTCCCCTGAGGACGTGGCCATGTTGTAAAACCACTGATTTTTGAGAAACTTCTCTTCACTTCTATTAAGCGGCAGACCTAATTTTCAGCACTTGTTCTTCATTGTTACTTCTTCGGAGGGCAGCAGCTTTGATTAATTATCGGATCGTCACAAGGGCTGGAGCCGGTCTTGACGAGAGGTCCGACCCCCAGAAATGGTTTTCATGGCAACTGATTCATGAATAATTATCGCTGGGATTAAGTATTTGGTCCAGTCCGTCTGGTGTGACTTCATGGGGCTCCATTGTGCATGTGTACTTCACACGTCAAGTGTCGATTGCCAATTCGGGGGCAACGTGTGCCTGTGCGTCACACACATGACAATTATGTGTTCGTGTGTTCGTAGTAACTAGATTTGCATGTGTAAAAATCCTTCTAGTTAAAAGGGTGTATAACAGCAGATGCTTCCAGTGCACGTGTGCATGCAAGCATACGCAATAGTGTGTGAGTGCGTTTCCACTAGATTACATCTCCTGGCCCCTCGCAGCCCCAGGTGTCATGGAGACGATAGAGCAGTATGCTGCACAGCCTCCTATGACCTTATTAAGCCATTTTCAGAGTCTCACATAGTTTTTCACAATTTGCTAGGGCTGCATTGTGGCTGCCCGCTCACACCCGCAGGCACTCACCGCCGTAATTCAATAATACAATACTCACTTTGTCCCACTTTCATGATTATCTTCATGGACTTGGTCTTGCACACGCCCCCCTCCTGGTTGTCGATGCCCTCCATGGTGCCGTTAGATGTAGCTACAGCGGGCGGAGAGAAAGGGACAAGGTTACAGTTAGCCGTTGCTGCGAGCACCTAGTACAAAAAAAGCTGTGTTGGGGAAATTGTATTATCATCCTGTGATTCATATCCCCTTTCTTAAAATCACAATTCACCTGTTCTTCACCTCAAACGCTCCGCTCTGGCGTAATATTTCACATCCCCAAAGTCAATTATGTTGAGTAATTGTGACTGTAAAACCTTTAACTGTGCTGATGGGCCTCATGAAGGAGGCAGTTAAGGGAAGTGAGGAGAGGGGAGACTGAGAGAGGGAAACAACAATGACTGCCATGATGGCGGCCATCTTGGCAAGCAACGGGGAATTCAGGGTGCATTAGCGCTAACGACACTCCAGAGAGAGGTAGCCAGTCATTAAAGAACACCGATTTTGGATTTTGAATGCCTTGAAAAGCTTGAATGCGAAGAAAAAAAAAACTCGCTGCCGGGCTTAAGAAGAGTGAAAAGCCTGCTGACAACATGAGAAAAAATATTCAGGAATATAAACAAGCACTTTTCCAGGAGAAACGGTAAAACATGGGGAGGTAATGAACACCTCAATAGGATATAAAGAGCTTAATGGGTCTGATAAAACATTTAAAGACAGAACAAAGAAGTGAACCCCTTAACACTTGGTTATGGGACCCCGCCAGATGTTGGGAGAGGAATCTTGAGGAGGGAGCAAGACGTTCCACATGAGGAACAAAACAGACCTGGTAAGCCAATGCTAAAGAATGAAGAACGTCTCTGGATGTATCTCACTGTTACTGATGGGATCCACACAGACAGACAATATGCAAAGGCTACCCATCCAAGCTCAATCAAGCCCCGTAGCTGCTACCCCGCCTCTCTGCTCATCTGCTTTTATCTGCGCTGCCCCTTGAGGTGGCTGGCAGCAATGCAGCTTGCGTGGATCATGAGAGCGAAGGGGAACAGGAGAGAAGGGAGGGAGGGAGGGAGGTGGGGGGAGTAGAGCTTGTGGTCTATCAGGTCAGTAACACAGAGGCTAACGAGCTGACAGAGCTTAGCAGCTTGGCTTCGCACCAGCGGGCGCTGGCCCGCATTCACTACGACCGCCCCCACCACACTGACCCCCATCGCCTCCCCTTCCCGCTGCTTCCTCTCTAGCCTCTCCGAGTCGTTCTCCTCCAACAACACGCCATCATCCCCAGCTTCATTCTCTCGTGGGCGGCCACTTTGCTTCCACCACCGCCGTCCCTAAACCCGCAGGTGCAAAGGTCTCGACTGAAACAGCTTTGAAAAATGAAGCTTTTTGCATAGTAGCTTTCTCTTTCTCCTCCTCCCAGTTGTCTTTTTGCCTTCCTTTTCCACTCTCCCAGACTCCCCCTGCATCAATGAGACGGTGATGGCAGCGGACACAAAGAGCATGTTAACAAGGACTCCCTCGCCCCCTCCCTCCTCTCCACCCTGCATCTCTCCCCCTGTCTCCTCCTCCAGCTGACCTATGGCTTTTCCAGTGGAGACCGAAAAGCACATTACAGACAAAGCTCCTTAAAGGCTTGTGCTCCTGTGCCGGTGTGTGTGTGTGTCTGTGTGCTTGCATGTGTTCATTTCGTAAACCTGTTAGCACAACACACATTAGTTTCAACAATCCTGCAGGATATCATTAACGCTGTTTACTTTGTAGGGATTGTCACGATGGCGGTGTGTTTGCGTGATGCTGTGGTTCATGGGATGTGGAGGTGCATGCCTCCTCAGCACTTCAGGGGAGGACTTCACAGAAGGTACTTCTATGTCTGCCAAACATTTTGTTTTTGTATAAAAAAGTAATGTATTTGTTCTGTCCTTTGCCTAAACTGAAACTCCAAAAATCCACCTTTTATTTTTGTTTCCAATGTGTCCTTGAGGTGAAAACGAAGAAATTCTTAAATCGGCAGTGATTTGGATATTTAAATTCTTCCTTTTTGAATGCAGAGTGAAAGACACACTCACTATGCCAATTCGGGAGACCCGGCAAGCCTGACTTAAACAGAATGTAATAGTTGAATGGACCCTCCTCAGCCCAGGCGGGCGAGGTCAGGCTGGAATGGATGACCGACTAGTTGGCTAGAGTTAACTAAGAACCAACTAATCCGTAACCCAGGGGGGGACCGGGTTTATTCAATACCACAAATCCATTTAGTCACCAACTAGCATCCAGATGAGGCTCAAAGACGTGGCGGAGAGTAGAAGAAGGAAAAAAGAGAAGAAATAGTGAGAGAGATTACAGCACTACTTGTGTGGAGGGACAAAGGAGAGGCTACACTGGATTGTCCCTCACCGTTCACCCATCCACACTGTGAATCACTGACTATTTTCTCACTCCTTTCGCGCTAGCTATGTGGTTGAGATGGAGTACTTTGTCTGAGCAAGTGTCCCCCAGACACACACACTCGCAAACACAGTCACATACACACAAAGATACATGCAACAAAACAGGCCCTGCAAAGGGGAACAGGGGTTATCCGGTAGAATCACTCACCGGCCGTGACAAGGGCTATTCTGCTCGAGACCAAGGTTACACACACACACACACACACACACACACGCCTTCAACCAAACACAGGACACAGTCTTTAACCAATGGTTCTATGAAAAAGAACTGTACTCCCTCTGAGTGTCCATCTGTGTGTGTTAGAGCCATGTGTAAAATGAGTGCTAGCATACAACCCCCCCCCTGCATTGTAAACACACACAAGACCCTCCACGGCTTCATTTACTCTACCTAGCATCATTCTCCGATGTCAAATCAAGAGATTGGACCGTCTTGCATTCATTCAAACAGGAATAAATAACTGTGCTAGCATTTAGAGCTAGTTTCAGAGTGGTGTTCAAGCTAATGTTGCATTTAAAGAGTGGTGTTGGTTTAATATCTCTTTGGTCATTTTCATAAGCTGTAAACATATGTTTCAGTTTCATTTTATATCAAATCGGGCAAATAACACGAACGAATATGTGCTGAAGGGTGTGTAGTCCAGTTTCAAGCTGTGCACGTGTACCTCGCCAACATTGTCAATTATGGCAACAAGAGCCTTAAGATGTATCTCACGAGAATGCATTGCACACAGCAAGACAATGCGGGGACAGCGAGAGGACGTGTCCCCGAAAGAGACAAAGGCAGCTATGATCTAAACACGAGCAATGACTGCCCTCCGACGGGTTGCTGTGGATCACAGAGGTTACAGGCTGATTAATACGCTCCATCACAGTGTGCGCTAATCACCCGAGACACGGGGCGCCTCCGTGTCGACGGACCCCTTGAGACCCACAACAAGACACAAAGTTGTCTAATAATCACCATTACGGCTCTCAAAACACAAACATTTCCAATCCATTATTTAGATCCACTTAAAGTTGAAGTTAAAACGTGATTATTACAGCAGATATTTGTTTATCTACAATTTTGGGTGAAAAAAGCATAGTTTGATGGACAGTAGAGAAAATATCCAGATTTTCAGCCGTGCAGGCACAAAGTAGCGCTGACTGCTGCTGAATAAACCTGTCTGCTATTACCATAATGTGATAATAATAATAATAATGTCCCCCTGAATCTCATACTATGATCGCGGGTGTGTTGGGGTGAAAAAATAACCGTAAGTGCATTTTCAATCCAGATCAACTTTAATGACAATCCGTGTAGCACCGACTAACGGGACTATTTTCTGTTGTGACTGAAGCAAAGGCAGACTGATGAAATGTGCAAATTAATGTCCTTCTTCTGCCCTTTTCCCCCCCTCCTCTATTCCCTCCCTCTAATCCTCTCTCGTTAGCGCTCATTGGCTTCTGCCATTCTTTCTCTTTGTCTCTCTCTCTCTCTTTAGCTCATGTTATCATCCAGCTCACTACGTTCTCAGCTGCAGGCCGCGCTGCCGCAAACCATCACATCAAACTCATCTGCTCATGTGAAAAAAAGAAGGCACTCAGAATTACACACATACTGGCATAAAATACACAAGCGCGTCCACGTTTAGCCCTTTGCGACGCACGCGAGCCCCCCCACACATCCACAATCACAAGGATCCTCTTCCTTCATCGGCCGCCGGTCTGTGCTGCAGGACAGTACAGGAAGAGATCGTCTAATGTCAAAGACACTTGAATAGGTGGTTCTGAAGTCCCGGGGGGGGGGGGGCATACCCATCTAATCTAGGTCTAGCCTCACAATACTCAACACAGGGCTGCACTAATCCAATTGGTCTAGACGCCACAGTATTGATGTGGGGGCAATTGTGAGAAGAAGTGGAGGATTAAACGCTGGTCCATTAATTACGTATTGAGTGCTTACTCCAAAAGACTAATGAAATCCTCACGATGAACTTTCTCAGGCGGCGTCACACTTCAATGCATCTTGGACAGCACTGCTGCAGGCAAAGGCCAGACACACACACACACACACGTGAATAAGGAGGAGATGCTTCCACGGAGAGCTACTAAGGCCAAGTCAAACCATAAGTAGATATGTAAGAATTTCCAGAGCTCATTTGCCCAACAGGTAAAAACAACCAGCAGTCTGATTCCACATACGCCCACCTCTGCGCATTTCTCCTTTTCTGTCTCTTGTGTGTGTGTGTGTGTGTGTGTGTGTGTGTGCCTCACTCCCGAAGTTTACACATGCAAAGCTGGAGCTTCTCCCACCGTTTGATTCAACCAAATAGAAAGAGTACACAACATGTGATGCAACTGCAGTGGGCTGTTGAAGCAGCAGCAGCAGCAATGGGGCCGGCGCTGGCCGAGAAGAGGCAATTAACAAAAACCTGACACACTCCAATGGAGAAACAGCTCCCTCTACTCCCCCTTTTAGCTACACATTAGCATTTGGGGTAGCTGTGAAGGGAGGTGGAATGGCCGTGGTTGGTGGGGGGCAGGGAGTGTTGACTTTACAACTCTTTTTTTTCTGATTTCTGAAGTTCTCATTTAAACTTTTGCATCGCTTTATCTGTTCGATCTTGTCGACTCGGCAGGCTGATGAAGAGGAGGGGTTTTAACACGAGGCGGTGAGAAATAGAAGACTGTCTGCCTAACAGGATCTGAGCTCCGTCTGCATGCCTCAAGCTGCAGCTCCAGCCTCCCGATGGACTGTGTGTCTGTGTGTGTGTGTGTGTCCGTGTGTGTCGTTGCGTGTGTTTGCCTTTTCGCATATGCATCAGCCCGTCTCTCCAAACCACACATCCCCCTCCATGTGTCTGCGCCGGTCCATGCTCTCTTATCCATGTGCTGCATAAACCTGAAATCCACCACACAGTGATTCCATTCAGAGGAAGCAGAGCACCGATACCACCGGGGTGAGTAAACACCACCCTCAGCTCCTCAATAATGAACTGCTCCGTTTGGGTGGAGGCAGACGAGGGGAGAGTGATGGTGCCTGTGCCTCTTCACCAGGGAGCCTTTGTAGTCTTTGAGCACACACACACACACCATCTGATGGCTCTTGGGTTTGGATGCTCATTCGCATCCTGCACCCGGCTCATCAGCCAGGTAGCTCCAGAAACGTTATTTTCCAGTTTAACCGAGTGTAATTAGTCCTATAAGGGTGCAAGGCCATTAAGGCAGGTCTCTATATGCACCAAAAACATCTCAGCAAGACCACAAAACGAGTGACAGAGCAGCTACTGCTCCCTGTTTGGTTTTAACCCACCGTAGGTAGAACTGATTCAGCATTATGTCTGGGCAAACCGGATTTAGCAATACAGCTGCTTGACAGCTCTCTGCAGGACTTCTGGGTACTGTGAAGCTTAGAAAAACATTTCAATTCCCAGGAGTCAGGATACCACTCAGTACAATTAGTTGTTACCTTGACAAATACTTCAACAAAGCAAAAGAACTTTAGAAAAGACGCGATGTGTCCCGCTCATCCTTCCTCCACTCTTCACTCTCCTTTCATCCTCTACCTTCTACTCAGTCAGAATTATGGCCTTCGCCTACTGTGACAGCTCACAGATGGCTGTGGCAGAACCTCACAGATGGTCCTATCAGCGGTACACCCCCCACCAGCGCCCCACAGATGGTTCAGTCCACCTCCCGTGTTTCAAACCAGGGGGCCGTCGCTAAACCCCGTCAGAACTTCCTCCCAGGACGGCGGCGATGCATCACAGGCAATCAGCAAAGCAGAGGGGCCACATCTGCAACAGGAGACTGACGGGTGACTGTGCACAGTACGGACCGCCAAAGGTCTCACAGGAAAGTCTTTGAAGAGTTCTGTGTTGGACCAAACACTCTGATTACACTACAGATTCCCTTGGATGGACTTTAACTACAAATGGACCTTACATTTTGACTGGATTGTAGCCTAATATCCGTACCAAGTACTTCCATATTTAGTACCGTTATATCTATTGAATACAATTACAGTGACTGACAATGACTTCGAAATCCTGTTTTATTTTCATGAGATGTTGTTCACTTTTTTTTGTTGGTGGACATTCAACACTGCAGAGACTGTCCGGTCAGATGGCCACGACCTGTGCTGAGCAGCTTAGGCTCATCTCACGAAAGGTTAATGGCACATTGCCGTGGTGATATCGTATCCGGTTGCATCAGAACAGCTTTATATGAATATGTACATGAGCACAGCTTCAGACCCAATATCTGTCGGTGCATCGCTAATCCTTTGGATAGCTTCAATCTGTGATGTTTAATACAATCCGCTAATGAAGTGTTATCAATTTCCCCTCAATATATTTCCTTTATATCTCAACATGAAGGAGGTTGAAACAACGTATGACGGTGGAGACAATAATAATTGTAATTGATGATATAAATTGTAAACCTTGAACGGATGTCACATAAAGCTGAAGAAAACAATTGACCTGTTTGACCAGTGGTGAGAAAAAAAATAAAAACACAACAATTCAAGGTATGTCACCGCCGGCTGGCACAAGCCTAGTCATTGACCCCTTCAGGGAGGGGCGTGTACTTACAGATGATGTAGTAGTCTTTGCCCCTGAAGAACTCCAGGCCCCAAAGGTTGGGGCTGAACTCCTGAAACTTGAGGGTGAACTTGACGTCCTGGTCGGGCTTGACGCAGTTGAGCAGGGGCGTGTCGGCCTTGGTGATGGTGCAGCTCTCCAGCTGCTCTCGAGGCACCATGTATACCTTGTAATACTCCACAGCATCGCCCATCCCACTGTCCACGCGGGGGCACACAATGTCCAACTTATCCCCAATCTGGGGGTACAATACCACGCCTTGGCCTGGCACGAATCTGAAAGGAGATGGAGGAAAAAAAGAGTTATTTAAATGGATGATAAGTCATTTATTATGCATGGGAGTGTTTGCCATTGAGGCTCTCCATATATTTCAAAACGAGACAAGTCGGCTTAATTATTGATGTGATAATAACTGATTGAGTCCATTCATTTTAGATGATGAAGGATAATCGAATGCGTGATGTGTGTACATGTGTGCGCATGTGGTTCAAAGTGACCCCATATCTGAAGACTAAATCACAGCTTTTCCTCAGTATTGTGACAGTGAGAGAAGAATAATGAAGCGGATAAATGAGGAGAAGACAACGTGCCGGCGCCAGTGAAATGGCAGAACAGCGTTGGCATACAAAACAGAAAATTAAAAAAACAATAAAAGCCCAGCTTATTGAGACAAAATCACAACAGAGCTGCAGCAGAAACATGCAAGCAGACACACAGCCTGCAGGGGTTTGTCTGGGAGTGCCGTTGTATTTCCCTAAATTCTTCCCAAAAGTAAAATAATGTTGCCATTTAGTATCTGACTACTGAGAGCGCCTGCAGCATTCCTGTGATTGCATCTCTCTCTCTCTCTCACATACACACACACACACACACACACACACACACACACACACACACACATTCACAGTCGGGTCGGAGGTAAGAGCTTGTATTCATCTGCTAAACTAATTTGCCCCACGCTTTGATACAATTTAAAATATTAACTATGGAACCCTGGAGGCGGCTAATGAAATACTGAGTACCAGTGCAGGTAACAGACTGATACTGACTGACTGAATATCAAGTGGACATCATGTAGATCGTTATGCACTTGTGGTTTTGTCAATGTTTCTGTACAATGAGCAAAAACAGTGGCGGGTTTTTCTTTCTTCATCCCTGTGATGTAAGTGCAGGATCAATGGGTTGATTAAACGTTTAGTTTTGACGAATTGTTTCCCTTCTTCGTGTGGATTTGCTGCCATGTTTTAAGTGATAGTGGATATTTCAAGGATTTAGACAATTGGTTGAAACAAAACGTTTGATGACATCTTATTGTAATTATTTTGATTTGTGACGTTTTAAAAATGACTATATTCTGTTCTTCACAGTAAATAGACTTACGGCTAAAGCTAGTAATCACTGATTTATACTCCTCATCTCGATCTGTATTCACACTCATTGTTTCCATCTTCTTTACTATCTAATTTCTCCCTTCACTCGAACGTTGGTGTCCGGCTGTACAATTATATCCGCCTTGTGAGTAAATATACATATAAACATAGATTGCACTCTGTGTCTCTGTCACACTCTCTGTTTGCCTCTCAGAAGGACGGACACAGACACATGCATTATTTCCCCCTCCTCCTGCGGCAGCACGCATCATCTTCTCTGCTTCCGGCGGGATCTCGGGCGCGCAGACACAGAGCGCACAAAGTCACGCGTGCACACGCAGCGGCTAACTAGGCCGAGCGAGTATTTTTTCCGCCGCCCGGGGACACACTCAGTGGTGTACAGTGTACCCAGTGATGGACGCTGGGAGACAGAGGGAGGGAGGGGAAGGGTACGGACGGGCACCGCAGCGCCATCTGCCAGAAGGGGGCCGAGAGAGAGATGGAGGAAGTCCTCCCACGTCACATGGGGGCTTTTTTTTTGCATTGACATTGTGTGCGTGGTTGGAAGCATTCATCCATACCTCCAAGCGGGCATGTGTGTTTATACGAGGGTGAAAGCATGCGTGTATGTGCTTATTCTATCTTTCAGCGAATGTGCATGTTAGTGTTAGAGTGTGTGAGTGTGTGTGTGTGTGTGTGTGTGTGTGTAGCTTAGCTTGTGGGGCCCTTTATTTAACTTAATCAAACTAGAAGTGCTTCAGTCAGGGCCGTAAATATATATACGCCCCGGGGCCCGTGAGGAGTGAAGGGGAGGTGGGGGGTCATAAAGCGAGGGCCACAAACACCCATACTAGCATACTAAAACATCTTTACTATTTCCAAGCACATGAAGAATGTCCTAATGCCAACAAAACAATATTTACATCCTAATGTACCCGCTCACACGTTGCCGATGTGTGAGAGTACGGCTGCATCCCAAACCGTGTCCTACACGCTGACGATGACTGTGAATGGGTTTATTTTGCCGGATACTTGGCCAGACTTTCAGCTTCAAACAAAAAAAGAGAATTCCACTGCTGCAACATCATTAAAGAATACATCTTGGTAAGGTTTGAATTGAATTGTTGTGCGTATGACCCGTACTTCATAAGATACCGGAGGGTTTAGCTGCAGCCCTTAAACTGTTTATTCCATCAGCTCGTGGGCAATGAGACATAAGGGAGGAGTGAACGTTGCTTAAACAACACAACAATGGAATGATGTGAAACCGTGATTACACACACACACACACACACACACACACACCGAGGCCCACGCCTACTGTACACATGCATAAAGGGTGGACAGGTGAATCATTCAGCAACACCTTTCTGACAATACCATGGAGCTGCTGCTCAGCTAGCATCAGGGTTATCACCCCTCACCCGTCACGCAAACACAAAACAGGGAGCGCGGGTTACACACACACACACACACACATGCAAGAGCTTCTCTTTCTGAATATAATATATGCTGTATTTACTGTTCAAAATGATAGATCTGCCTTAGTAAAGGAAGACTAACACACAGCATCCTCTTTCCTACCCTGTTGTATTTGAGCCAGCTGACTTACAGCAAAGTGCAGTATAATAAAAACATTCAATAAATGGCAACAAAGAAAAAGAGTTTGGCTGTGTGTTTAAAGGAAAGCTGCCAAGAGGCTGATTGGGGGCAAACATGAGCTGACAAAGAGAGAGGAGATGAAGACAGGGACAGCGTGGACACACATTTATCCAGTCTAAGCCCCCTTTGGGGGATGATAGCACGCATGCGTGTGCCCGTGCTATTCTCGATGGACGAGTGTGTGTGTGTGTGTTTGCCGACACCAGACACCTGGACCAATGGCAGCCATCAGAACCAAACACCTGGTACACGAGGTCCCTCAGACAAACAGAAGCTAGCCCCATCATCTCAGGATCGTAAATGCATTTGGTCCCCAACTAGCTCAGGGCAAGCACCCCCCCCCCCCCCCCTAAAAGACCCCTCTGTAGTTCCATAAAACGTCCTGTTTAACAGCCCTTTATCACAGAGGTGAGGCATGAGACACATTAAAGGCTGTCATCACAATGTTAACTATAGTGATGTAATGTGGAGACCTCCATTTACTCAGTTTAGTTCACTGAGCTAATTGTCTGTTAAATACAGTTAACCATCGTCCTGTGGGACACCAGCGCTTTGCAGAGCTTGAAAGTGACATCAATATAAAATTTAAAGCGCATTTTTATACGAGTAATTCTTCTCTTTCAGCTCACGTCATTTTTAAAACAATACATGGAAGAGAACAAACTGAAAGCCTACAAAACACCACGTCACACGGCAGTGACACATTCTTCATAATCATTCGGCAATTAATCGTCATTTTGCTCAACAGATTTTCCTGACGTGACTAATGTAACTGAGGCGGCTCGAAGTATTTAGTGCATGAACAGCTGATTCCTGATCTGTTGAAAATATTTTTTTAAATGAGAATAATGTAAAACAATTTTTAGAATATTTCAGAGTTCATTAGTTAATTTGTAGACAAAGTAAATTGGTTTCAATTCAGTCGTTGAAGCAAGATTTGCTAGTGCACAATTTATCATTGTAATCATTTAGAGTGACAATCACTGCATTTACATCAGTGTGTGTATTTTGTTTTGAAAAGTTAAGAAAGAAATGTTCAAGTTTCCCTCCACATCAACCAGTTAGAAACAACACCCAAAGCCCAGCTGATCCATCGATATTGGAATTGAGAAAGCTGTATCAGTGCTTCCATAAAAATAATGGACATCATGAGCAGCAGCCCAGTTTCTAATAATGAAATGCATCTTTTGTCCTTGCAACACTGCTGGAACAGTGCACTCCCGCAGAAGGTCTAATGACACGCAGGGAGACGACAGAGAGACGTATAGTGGCACCATTCTTCTCCCTCCTCTCATCTCCGTTTACCTCCTGCACCCCGTCCAACACACGCAGCGCTCAGACAGAGCGCGGGCGCCTCTCATCTCCAGCCCGTTGGGGGGAAAGGTGAGGGCAGACACGGGCGCATGACCGGCTCCTGCTTTTATTCAAAATGACGCTATTGATATTGAACTGTCAGAAATCAGACAGCTGCTGGTTTCTTTGAACAATAAGTCATCGTAGACTTCCTTGAGATGAAGCAACGATGTGTGCTTTGTGATAGAACATTAAATAGATGATATGTTGTGCCACATATTTAAATATGGAACTGTACGACATTTTGAGTTGAGTGATCTTTTTAAAGCAGCCGTCGGCCTCCTCGTGTGTGACTAAGCCTGCAGACGCTTCCTGCAGACTTCCAAACTCAATTTGCCATGCGACATGTGTTTTCTCAATCATCTTCCAACCACCTTACTTCACTTTCAAGTTTGGTGTCTTTTTGGTGTGTATGTGTGTGGGGGGGGGGGGGGTCGACGGTGGGGGCCGAGGTAATGACTGCTGCATCTGTTGCCAGTGAAAAAAAACTCGAAACAATAAAAGAAGACGTGTGTGTCTTGTGCCGCTGCACGTCATATATTAAAGCCCGCCCTCCCTCAGCTCGCCTCCACACGTTGGATTCATGGATCTGCGTGTGACACTACGGAGCACCGGAGAGTCCGAGGTTCTCTTTGTGTGGTCCCACGGTTATGAGAAAACCAAGCGGAGTGAGAGGAGGGGGAATATTTACTGCAGATCAAGAGCAACTGTTGAATCTGCAGCTGCGGCGCAAGGATTTATTAAGGCAGCAGACAAAAGAGGCCGAGCCGGCGCAGATTGAGGGTTAATCCAGCGGCGCCCCGGCTTTCGGCCTCTGTTGGCCGAGGGGACAGGGGTCTTTACGCCAGCCGTCACCCGGAGCCCCCTCGTCCTCATCGTTCTGTCTGCTTCGGCCTACCTTTCATCCTGTAATCCAAGCCCTACATAATTACCTCCCGCCCCCCCCCCCACCCCCCAAGGGACCCCATGCCCTCCCATCTCCCCCTCTATTTCATCCCTTTCACGCTTCTTGATGATCAACTTTCCCTTTGGCAGTGACCTCCTACTTTTCCCGTCGCCGTGCACGCTGATCCATGTAGCCAAATGAAGTGGTCTCGCTCTCTGCAGAGAAACGGCCAAATTGGAGGCAGTTGGAGGAGTTATGGAGGGACGGCTGGTCGGAGGAAGAGGGGGGGGGTTCTTCACGACATTCAGCACACGGACTCGTCAGTCATTCATGATGAAAACCCCGCCCCCTACATTCACAAAAGAGGACCCACAGAGGTGCCCCCCTCACTGCCCGGTCACAAGGAGCCTTTGGGCTTCTATGTAATCTCTTAATGAACTGCAGTGGAGGAGAGGGAGCGCTCCTTTTACATAAACCATGTAAAGCAGGCCTCTCTTTTGTTTCTGCTAGCGACTACAAAACGGATTACCACAAGAAGGAGGTGTGTCCGCTGTGATGCTGAGATCGGGGGGAACGAGGCGGTGGGCTCGTTCTTGTGCTGTTTTCTTTTGTGGTCGGTTCACGCATTAGCCGGTAAAGTCGTAGAGCGCAAACGACAATGAAGTTTAAGCGGCGGGTCCGTGTGGAATAGCTGCACACACACTGGGCACAGAGAGAGAGCCGAGCTGCTTCTTTATCCTCTCCCCCGGCCTACACACACACAAAGCCTCCACATTTCTAACATTCATTCTTCCTTGAATAGTCAAAGAGAAGAAGAGACGCAGAGGCAGGAACAACTTGGGACGTTGAGCATATTGCTGGACTGAAGTGTAAAGATATTCACACTTTGGGGTTTCTGTCAAAGGGCACATTACACCCACGGAAAGAGTTAGTCATCACATGTTTGCTGGATTGAAAAGGAGAGGCCCGCTTTCCACCCTGACCTCAAAATGTGACTTTGTGTGCTCCTCCTGGTACGGGATAATACCGAGAAGCAGTGAGAAAGATAAAAGTCTTCACGTGAAATGTCCCAAATGTCCTTTGCTACAAAAAAACATTCATTTCCATCAGGGAACTTGACCCACACAATAAAGTAATTGTTGTGGACGCTCATAGTGGTATTAACCAAAAAGGGACTGAAGTGACCGGTCACAAAAGGATGTTGCTCTCTGGCCTTTGACCTCTCTGCGCCCCGACGGAACGCAAAAACCCGCACATGCACACGATAATTCTGCTGTATTTGTATTGAGTGCTTTACTTGCTCCGAAGCGGGAAGCATTTTTTTCGCTTTCGGTTCTGACGTCTAAATTCTATTAACAACAGCTACAGCGTCAAGCTGGAGAATGTTTCATCTTCTCTCAACGGGGAAGATATTTTGACAAAACAAAAGGACTTTGGGTGATTCCTTCATAGAGAGACAGCACACTGAAGTCTCTGCGTAGAATGTTTTATTTCAATCATTTATTTAATATATTCTTATGTACGTGTATGTATTAATATGTATTTGTATAAAATATATTTCTATATATAAAATACGTTGATACGTGTGTGATCTGCACTTAAACGTCTCCATCTGAGATGAAAGTGTTGCCTGTCTAGTTGTCTCATCTCTCTCATAGAGCCACGCGCTCATCACACGTGATTACATCGCGCCTTCATGTCGGACCACAGAGCCGTGAAAAGAGCCACCTCAAGGTAACCGTACGAGCGCGTGCGTCATGAGGATGAGGCGCGTTGGGACGCAGCGGCTCGAGGGCCGCGGAGCTGCGGACAAACGCTGTGTCCTCGCGCGGTCACATCCGGGGCACGGCGGACTAATAAGATCTTTGCCACGCATCAACACACACACACACACACACACACACACACACACACTTGTTAGACAAGATCCACGGTCGCTTTGTGGGTATTCAAGAAGGGTAGGCCAAGATAGGGACACAGTGTGTGTTTGTTTGTGGGGGGGGGGGGGGGGGGGTGAAAAAAGCTGCATTATTGAGTGAGTGAGAGTGAAATTGCCACAAAGAGGGGCGCCCCCCGCCGGGCTGAGACCGGGGTGTAGACCAGGAGAAAGATAGCTTTTATTTGGGGGGAATAACTGCCTTTCTTGGTGGGCACGTGCATATGCGGTCTGGATTATATATCTTTTTCCAGATGACATTATAGGAATATTAAGGCCGATGTGTGTCTAAAGTATCTTCCGAATAACAGCCCACCAGTGGTCATAGCAGTATCTTTGCACAAGTCCTCGCGAGTGTGTGTGGCCACCCTGGAGCCTTGAAGCCGGACGCCGCGCACTGGGCTTCTGGCAGGAGCAAATGGCGGGTTGGGGGCGTCCTTTGAAAAGTTTTCGTCTCACCCACTATATTTTCCATAGAAATTGCCCCTTGAATATATGCTCGTTCATTATTTCATTATTTGCACAGTGCGTATTGGAAACCCGCAACAGAGCGTCAAAGGCCCGGCTCAGCAAGGACCGTCTCCCTCTGACCTCATAAATGATGTCCAATATTACATTATATGGCCACACAAATAGCGAGGGGGAGAAATGTGCTGCTGAAGAGCTCAATGCAGTTTCAGAGGTCTGCCCTTTTTAATTGATTCGGCCATTTTACTGGTAGATATTAACTATAAATACGCCTTTAGGAGTTGGAACCCAAGTTGCTAATTTACCTTCAAATTGAACGCACGTCAAGCCCCCAAAATTAGCCACACACCCAAAGAATGAAGCGCACAAAGTGCGGCGGGTTGGTGTGCTGTGTTCGTGGCGCACGGCGGAGCGGCCCTCGCTGCGCTCTGCGCGTAAATATCCCCCAACGGCGACAACGAGACGGCAACGGAAAATCAGTTAAGCCGTAAAGCAATGAGCGTGTCTAAATACAGCCGCTTCCACACGGGCTGCTGGCGTGGATGATGTCTGTATAATTCCCGACATATTACCCGTGTTGTTAACATCAATTCTTCTCAGTTACCCAAACAGGTTGGGAGTTTAGCTGCACGGCAGATCTTTATATCGGATGTTTACGGAGTATTATGGTTATCTGAGAAACGCGCCAAACGCGTGATCAAATATGAACTGTAGTTATATTTTTTTTTTTACAAAATATTACTTTCGCGACCCGTTTAATCACATTAGCGCGTCAGAAAGGAGGTGGCGATAACACGCGAATATTAATTCAGTTGCAAATCACGCGGTGCTGACTGCTCTTTGTTCCACTCGCGATATTCTGAATTTGAAAGATGATTGTAATAAAATACCGTAAAGGCAGGCAAGCCGACATTAAATTGCTATATTTTTCCACGGAGTCTGGCATCGAATCGTCGCCCCGCGCACGGAGCTACGCGGGCCAGGTGTCCGCGCGGCGTGTCTTACTTACTTGGTATTTGTTGTGTTCCAGTAGATGGACTCCAGGATCAGCGCCCGGCACAAGTCCACTTCGAAGGCAATAAATAAAACTCCAAAATAATATCTCCACATCGAGTCACCCATGGTTAGCCGGCGCGCCTCCAGTTGGTGCCCGATCCTCCTCGAAATCACCAAATGTGTCCACAAAAATAGAGCGCAGGACAAGCGCTCCGGAAAAGGCTGACCGCGGCAATGTCTTCACCTTATATCCCGATCCAGTGGAGGAGGGGGGGGGGGGGACAAACTCCGATCAGACCTCGTAGAGCACCTCCACGAGAGAGACCTGTTCCAAAAAAGCCAAAGGCGCACGCCAGTAGTTCATTCGGCGGACAGCGGCTTTGTATTCTCCCCCGTTCACAGCGCAGACTTCACCTCGCTCCAATACATCCCTCAGAGACAAAAAGGTGTCGGTGTCCGCTGTAAATCCCCCCTGCGTTATAGTCCAGGAGTCCCGCCAACATCCAGAGCAGCAGCAGAGAGTAGGACAGCGGTGGCTGGGGTGGAATGCTCAGATATTCCCCTTTCAGACAGTTCTGGTGGACAGCAGCAAACTGTGGCCGACGGCAGCAGAAAAATGACACGCAGGAATCAATGAGGTCGAATGGTCAAAATGAAGAAAATGATTAAATATGAGAATGAACGAAATCAAAGGAGCGGGGATGGAAGTTATCATACTAGAGGTCTCCAACGAGCGATGCGGCTGAATGCTACAGATCCGTCCCGAAACGCCCGCGCACCGCGTAGGGATGGTGCCTCAGCGCCGCTCTGAAACCTGGATGGAAAGTAACTGCAAGCACCGCGACGGGGAATTTGGTAGAGCTGGTTTGGCACGGCCCCGCCCCCCGCCGCCGCTGATTGGTCGCTGCGCGGTGAAGTTAGTGGGAGCTTTGTTGTCAGTCAACGGGGCAACTGGTTCAGTGCGGTGACCAGTGGGGAGCAAAATGGGAAGAACGGAGTGAATCGGCTGAATTCCAGTGCTGAAAGTGTCCTACGTGATAAGAATGGATCTAATTCCTTCAATAATACTTCACATGATAGAAAAGGTTGTGACATGGGTGATGACACGAGCCTGTTTCCTCTATAAGATAAAAGCTGAGCGTGACTCGTCTTTTTATAGCTCCCAAACAACGAACAGCGCGCGCTGCTCGCACGCGAACGCAGTCTGAGACCCCGTGATGGAAAACAGCGAGAAACACAGGCTGCCGTGACGCTCGCGGTGCTGGTGCATGTGTCTCCGGCGAGCGCGCGACGGGGCTCTCCGTGTTTTTGGAAAGACAAGAGCGCCCACTAGTGGAGGATCCACTGAGGAGAGGCGGAAACTAAGGTTTCATCCTGTTTATATGAAATGTAAAGGCACCAACACACAACTGTGTCCATCAACAGCCAACACAATAGAACGTTCAAGTATTTAAACACGTTTAGTCTTGACGTAGAAAGTTCAAATAGTTTGTAACTTTAAAAAAAGGCTTTAGCAGGCTTGTTTTTTTTCCTCTGTCACAATTATTCAGTTATTAGCATCCACGTTGCCTAGAATTGCTTCCTGAACCACTAACCATCATATCAATTCCTTTAAAGCCTAATTGAAATGGCGCGTTCACGCCTCCCGCCCGCGGCCCCCAGCAGCACAATGCGCGTGCCAACCTCTCGCACCTCCCGACGACTTGATTCGATCACGAGCTCCTTTCCGCGCGGTGGCTCGCGGCCGTTTGCGTAGCGGACGGTCGGGCTGATAGATCTTCGGGAGATAATTGAGGAGTCCGATTCGGCTTCTCTCACCTCCCGCCGTGGAATAAACACCCGCAGGAGGCGCGGCTCTGCGCGCAGACGGCGTGTTTATTGGTGTGGATTTGATACCGAGACGGTTTAACGGAAGAAGCCACCGATGTGCGAATTAGATTAGCAGGACACCCGCCTTACTTAATTAAACGGACAGACGTATTTAAACGTGTGTGACTACAAAGGTGTAATCAGGACTTGCAAATTTAGTTTATTTTATGTATTTGTTTATTTGTGAAAAGGGTGATTATGAAGATTAATATAATCGCACAATGTATTTTGTCTTGTTTCTCAACGTTAAAAACCTAAAACACGTCTGTTAAACTCACTCAACTACAATGGTGTCACACACCATATTTGTAATTTGATAGTTCTTTCTTTCGATAGAATTTGAGGGAGGAATTTGGACAGAGGGAGGGTTCAGTTCCTTTGTTTTGAAACGTCTGCCTTCCTTCTTCTAAAGTGAGCAGACCTGTTGGCCTGCAGGTCTCCGTACTTCATGGGACGCACCGAGCTCCTCTCCGGAAAAATGCGCATCACTAATGCAGAGTTTGTGTGCTTTTTTTCCTCGCAGGTTTCCATGGTTCTATCTGGACCCTTCTGTGGATGGTGGTTCTATCTGATGGTGGTTGTCCCTGCAGTGGTCCTGCCGTGCGCCTGGTTTAATTTATTCCATATGCATTGAAAGTATTGTACATATTTTATGTTGTTTATTCGGTGCACATGAGTCAGTTGCAGTCTGTCCATCAGGGAGAAGGAGCCTCCTCTGCCAGTTTCTACCTATTTTCTCACCATGAAAAGGTTGTTTCCTGTGCTGGGTTAGACGATGTTGCATGTGTACAGATTGTAAAGCACTCAGAGGCAAATTTGTCATTTGTGGATATTAAAAAAAAAAATTCACCAGCTTCACGCGCAGGTCTCACGTGTTTAGTCTTGAGACTTGAGAGATTCAAGTCTGCAAATAGGGTTGTTGAATCATTTATAACATCATAGCTTTGCCTCCCAGTTGAGGTTCACAATTAGATTCAGTTTACATCAAAGCGTCTCCAGATAAAGAAGTGGAATCTGTAGTTGTGGAGGTCATGCGTGTTGGATGGTTATGAAAGATTACGCAAAGTTCAATCCAACTTCCAGCTCACAGGCACACACACATATGTAGTCTCGTCATAGTGGATGTTTGACAATATCAAATATATCAAATTATCTTTGCATATAATAGAAAATGACTTTCACCCGATGACTCTTTGGAATTTTTGGTCAGATTTGTCACCTTCAATGTGACAAACCGCTGACTAAAGCCCAGACTGGAACAGCTTCAACGTGAACTACTATACAGTATATGACCATCAGGAGGGCTTTGTTTTTGAGAAAGACACACAGACCAGTGGAGGCATTCAATGGATTTATTCAACTGTTTAGTCCCTTGACAATTGGGGGGATATTACATGACAAATACAAAATCCCACAACATAACAAAAAGTCATTATACCCACCTGAGGTCAGACACTCGCACTCCGACACGCAGTCTCACACACACGCGCGCGCGCGCACACACACTCAGACAGACACGCACTCAAACACTCACATGCACACGACCTCAAACCTTATCTTACCTGAACTTGTCCGTCCTACACGAATCAAGACTTACCGAGTGTAGCGCCTTGCCAAGTTCATGTACTACAGCTAAACTGGGTACCGGGACCGTACGGCCGCGCCTCGTCCCAAAGAGTCGGATAAAACCCAAGTGTTTAACATTACCGGGACTTTTTGTTAACTTGGGGAGGAGTGGGAGTCAGCACATCACAGCAAGGCTAGTAAAATTACATCATACAGGAAACGCCCCCTTTGTCCCCCACCATCCCACAGTCGTAGACAACCGCTTCCTGCTGTCGGCTCGTGGTTCAGCCATTGGCTAACATGAGCTCCATCATTTCCCCTCAGCCAGAGACAATGCTGTCATTTAGAAAGAAGGAAAAGATGTATATACACTGTGGACAGAGCTGAAGCAAAAAGAAAGGTGTCTGTGGGCGTACATGGTGATGGAGGTGACGGAGGTGGAAGACACAGACCGGTCAGCTGGACGGGAAGTTAACTGTGCTTTGATGGGCTGTGCTGGGATTCATCACCACGCTGCAGCCACTTTCAGAATGGAAACATGAAAACAGAAGAACCACAGGCCAACTGCCAAGCCGCTCACGAGCTTTTACAGTAGACTGAACTACACAACGTCACACATACTGGTCCTAGTGTGGTCGGCTGGCGGTGGAGACACGTAAGAAGGGCGCAGTCGCTCGATGTTACCGAGTTAAGACTTCCAGAGAAAGGGACACGTTAAAGCATTCTACATCAAAAGTTTGAGTTCCCTAAAAATGAAAATAAAACTGGAGAAAGAAAAGCAGAAGTCGTGTGTGCGGTGGGGAGGCGGGAGGATGGAAGGAGCGGTCGGGTCCTTTAATGGAGATGAGCAGCCTCCTCTTCGACGTGGGCCGAGCGAGTCCACACACCGGGGTGCACCTCCTTCCTCGGCCTTCCTTCCGCACTTCCAAAACGAAGCGAGCGTTCCTCGGAAGAGGGGTGGGGTTGATTGATGGAGGAAGGAGAGCTTGGTCGGGGTGGAGGCAGGGCAGGGCGGGTGGATGCGGGTGGAGCAGTCTCATTCGGTGGCCTTGAGAGAAAAGGACAGCTTGGGCCGGGACTTGCCCTTGCCGAGGATGATTTTCTGCTCCTCCTTCTGCTGCTTTTGTCGGTCTTGCTCCAGCTTCATCCGCTCCTCGTGAATCTTTCTTTGCTCCTCTACAATACGCAACTGCTCCTCGGCCTGTGGGAACAAAGCACACCGGCGTGTCAGAGAGACCCCATCTCATCGGCCCCGTGACCCCGACACCTCCAGCCTCAGGCTGCTTCTGTCCAAACCCTGGATCAAATAAACACGCCTGTACTAGAAGAAGCCACTGGGATGTTGACTCGTAGGTCTCAGTCAGAGGACACATTTGGAGTTAAAGACACATAAACCTCACAGGGCAGGTGGGCGGGACCAGAGCCGTTCGTTTGTCCAATTGATGGTAACGGCTGAGTGACTAGTAAGAAAATAGCCTCTAAACCAAATGGTATTGTGAGAGGATGAATGGCGATGGGCATTTTGATGTGACCGTGGCAGCGTGCGAGTCTGACAGACGGGTGGATGGATGAGAGCAGCGGGACGTACCAGCCTGGCCTGAGCGTCGGCGATCTTGCGGTTATTCTCCTCTAGGATTTTCTCCAGCTCCTCCCGCTTTGATTTTTCTTCTTCCTAGACGGGTGACACGGTTCCATGTTAGTGCACAAACAGGTTACAGCCACAAAGCAGTCCATGTAGATGGACACCGGTCCTCTCATTGTGTGTGTGACACACACACGCACACACACACGCACGCACGCACACACACACACACACAAAATGTACTCACTTATGTTTGTTTGTTTCCCCTCCCTTTAATGCGGTTAATACCCTCCAAGAACAAAAGCTAAGTCCTGACACATCTGGGGCACTCGCTGAATTATTGTGGAAGCCATTCACATTCAAACAGGGGAGACCCACTCAGCACACTCATCATAAGAGAGAGATACAGAGGACAGACAGTTCAATCTAGAAGGAAATACAATTGCTGATTTCATAATATAAACAAGAGAAAAAAGGATACAAATAAAGGAGGGAATAGTTTTGGCTCACCAATGCATGTATACCTACGCATTTTCCTTGCCTGTGTACCTACACAACCGGTGAAAGCATTCGGCATTAAACGGTTGAATATTTACTGTCTCGTCCGGACTGTGCGGCCCCTGCAGAGACAGAAGCGCTCCTGGGGTGGGTGGGTAGGTATGGGGGGGACTCTGCCATACGGCGCCTGCAGCGTTCCTCTTTATTACTCTGATCTGTGTACTGCTCACAGCGCCCTCTTTTTACAGGGGTTTTCCTCTCTTTACAGTGGCTCAGTCCTCACTGAGACCATAGCGGGTGAAGACGAGTACACAACAAAGTGGCACCTGTGTGAGCTCGAGGAGGACCGGACCACTTACAGTACAGGACACAAGTCACAGGAGCTGAAAGGCTGCAGGCCAGCTCAGGTCAAGTGATAGTTAGGAAGTTGGTGAGTTGAGTTTCCAAAAACAAAAAACACAAAAATATATTTACTAAAAACAATATCCAACTTAGCAGCAACCCTATGGGAGAAGCAAGTCATGAGTACAAAACACAATACATTGGTTTTCTAGGGAACGGCATCAAACAATGACTAGAAAAAGAGTATCTATAGCTAGATATTTGGAGATAAAAAGGTTAGACCAGAGATAGTTAACCTCGTCAAACAGGAAATGTGGCGGCCCGTCGTTATGTTTCCAAGAGCAGAAGATGGTCAACACAAGGATTATTAAATAGAAGGTAAAGGGACAAACTGTCTGAATTCAAAAATATGGGATGAGCATTTGTTCAAATCAGAGACAGGAAATGAGGAAATGTGATGGATCAGCCTTTGGGCTCATCTGCTGCCTGTAGAGAGGCCGGCTAGTTCTACCAGTTCTGCTGGATGATGGTCTCAGACCAAGTAGGGGACTAGGAGACGACCCTATGGCAGCAGAGGGGTCTGACTAAGTCCACAAAGGTAAAGGGGGCATGCTGGGACTACATTCCTCCCCCTATTAGTACCGAGCCACTGGCTGCTCCCTGAGCCAAGCAGGGTCACTGGGCTTTAGCTGCCCTTCTCTCCCACAATACAACATTACTGTATAAACAAACCCCCTGCTCAATAGGCGGTGTGGGGGGGGCAGACGGTTGTCTGCGTCTGCTCTCTAAAGCCAAAAGGAAAGAAACTAAAGTCCTGTACTAACTTTTCTGACCAAAAGGGTTTCTGATATTACAAAAGGCATTTGGCTGGTTAACAAAAGGCCAAAGTGATGAGCATTGTTTACGAAAACAACTGTTTATTACATAGTATCAACAAAGATAAGAAAAGTAAAAGATCAAGCTGAACCAGGGAAAGAAATCATTCGGAAAAAAATGACATCGGTCAATAAAGTGAACTCTGCCATGGTAAAACTCTCACTGGCAATTTAGGAAATCTCTTTAGGAAAGACGGCAAAACGAAGGCTGGAGAGATTCACATTGCACCTCTGAGTGTGGAACAGGCAATCATCGTCCTTAAAACCCAATTTGCCACTTCAGTTTCAGGGATGACAACTGCTGTAAGACACCCAAATTCCCTCAGCGCACAAGCTGTTGGGAGGCTGCATGACAATAAAGGACAGGTAGGGTTAAAATGCCGTCTGTGCACAGAGCACAGCGCTCCGGTATCTTGGTCAATCGGCCCCCAGTGACGTGCTGCAGTTTCCCATCTCACATATGAGATGACCATATCAACACTGACGATTGAATCTGTAGTTACGTTTCCCCCTGCAGGGTTCGCCCCGTCCAGGCCCTGCGTGTGCCCCCCTCCTAGAGTGAAACTTGTACCATGGCCAGATTTCTGAGAAGTAAATTGAGAGGGGTGGGATGTACCACCTCCACTGTCCCCGTGTGTTCCTGAGGGAGAGCCCAGTGGGAGATGGGGTGAGGGGTTAACGTTGTGGGAGCTGTGTGGGACATGGGGGGGTTGCTTTCCAAACGACCAAGCGTTACCTCTCTGGCCTTCTGCGCCGCCAACTCGGCCTGCCGCTGCCTCTCCAGCTCCTCCAGCAGCTGCCGCTCCATGATGCGCTTCGCCTCCTCCACGCGCCGGAGCACCTCCCGCTCGATCTCGTCCTTCCGCTTCTCCAGTTCCTCCTCCACCCGCTTGGCAACCAGCTCCTCCACTCTCCGTGCCGTCTCCTCCTCGATCAGCTTCTCCTCGATCTCCTGCTGCCGGCTGCAGGAGAGGGAAATAACAAATGGGAGGAGCAACACATTAGTAATCCAGCATAGACAACATGAAAGCATGGGTGCACCCGGTCTTGGTTGGGGCTGATGGTGTAATGGTGTGGGGCAGTCTGAGCATTGTGGCCGACCGGGTCGTCCCTTTATGACCCCGTGTACCATCTGATGGCCACGTCCAGCAGCATCATGAAGCACGTCACCAAGCTCAGCTCAAACTGCTTTATGGAACACGACAAGGAGTTCACTGCAGCCCAAAGACCTCCAGTCACCACATCTCGATCCAATAGAGCACCTCTGGGACGCGCTGGAACGGGACAATCATCCCAGATGACAGATCTGCAGCAACTGCGTGATGCAAAGGGGGTCCAACCTTTGACTAGCAGGGCATACCTAAGAAAGTGGCTGGGGTGTGTGTGTGTGAGCATGTATGTATATACACAAAGATGATGAATCCCACCTGCAGTAACTGTGCATGTCAGATGACTAAACATGCCAATGGAGGATATATTCTTACAGCTACATCAAATAAAACTTTACTCATGAACGATGTGCGCAGGGAGGATTTGACTTCAGAGATGGCATCCCGGTTTGGGAGGATCCTCTTTGGCCCCCACCAGACACCTTGTGCATTAACTGTGACCTCCAACAGTGTTTCAGGTGAGTCCACACGGTTCATATAGATACCATCAATGTTGTGTTATGCTTTAAGAGCATGGCATTCAGCCTCCTAGTTTCACTCCCAAAGTACACAATGGAGATGGATTTAACTTTAAAGCGTACTACATTCTGTGAAACTCATACACCCCAAACACTGACGTTGCAATGTCAGTTGTCAAGTCTTTTAGCCTTAAAATAATCATGCTTTTTGCATGCATAACTATTAAGCATCTAAAGTGTCCTTTACGTCCCCCCAGTGTGGGACACGCTGTGCAGCTCTAGCATGTCTAGTTAGGCTGGTAGTAAAGAAGGAAAACCTGCTTCCTACTTCCCTTGATCGGGCCAAATGCACTACTGAAAACCTGAGGAGATTTTCAATTTCATGCAGTGCGGTGTGTACCATCATTTGGTGGGACACACATCTGGGTAGGACTGCCATGGAGGGTAAAGGGCGTGAAATTGGATTTTTAAAATTAGACAAGCACTCAAAACCTGTTCATGGGTCAATTCGTAGAAGGGAACAGTTTTTCTGAGGATGGACACTATAAACGTTTTGCTTGTTCAATTCAAACCCTGAGAGCTACGTCTTCACTCTGACTTACACCCAGTTACACAGCAGCTGGAAGCGAAGCAAACCGCAGTAACGTTTCCTCACTTGAAGCACTGAGTTGAGGGCCAGCGGCCTGTCCTGCTACGACCACTACTCTCTAGTCCCAATAATAACAACAGCTATCTCAAATCCAAATGGCCTTACGATTAAACTAAAGCGCCAGCTGTACGAGGTGCGCTGGCCCTGCGGTGTCTGTCTGTCCGCCGTGACGGAGGATCACGTTCCTTCCAACGTCCCGGCGCAGGACTTGTGGAACCTCGCTGACATTAGCAGGCTTTGGCGGCTAGCATGCTAACGTGGCGAGCTAACGTTATCTACTCAAACGAATGCAGCTAGCCTAGCATTTAGCTTAGCACATACTGCGGTTCGACGCAGACAACCTTATGTAACGTTTTACGACCAGCTCCCAAGGAGTTTCTTAAAATCCACTTACATCTTCCTGTGTCTTTCCATTTCTGCCCTTCTTTCCTCCTCCTCCTTCCTCTGCTTCTCGTCCAAAGCGTTTCTTTTGCTCAGAGTCCTGCCGAAGATGTCGATGCGCTCGGGCGGCGAGGCTGGTCTTTCTCTGCGGGACGAGGCTGTGGTGGACCGGGAGCGGGATCGAGATTCTCTGCGACGGTTCCTTTTTGATTCTCGGGACTTGGAACGCTTCTTAGACCTCTCCCTGTCTTTGGACCGCGACCGGCTCCGCTTCTTGCTGTGCTTGCTGCTTTTGGAGTGTTTAGACCGCGACGAGCTGCGGCTCCGAGATCGGCCCATGTTGCCCACCTCCACTAGCGTTAGCAGAGCGCTTACCCCAAATACTGTGTCTGATGTTTGGCCAGTATCTGGACTTCCGTTTCACCCGTAGCACTTTACACGTATTATTTACAATAAATGACGAAGAGGAATTTCTTCGACGATTCAGTTATGTATAAATGATCATTCAAAACTGGTTGTTATTTTGCCCTGCTAACTCTCTAAAAAGAAAGATGGCGGTTTGTCTAATATGTAGTTTCCCACAAGCCACCTCGGGTTTCGGCATTCATCGCTGGTCTTCGGGGGAGCTCGTTTCAAAAAATTTTAAACCGACATATCTGGCATATGGAGGACAAAAATGATTTCATTTAAATACCACGTTGCCAAATGCGAACAACAACTAGGAGCTAACTTCAACAACACGTGCAAGGCATAATAGACCAGGAGCGATCGCACTGCTGTGACCAATCCTGCTTTTTAAAAATGTTTTTCTTTATTTATTCTTTTATTTATTTATTTCCATATTTATTTCAGCATGTATTCATTTATTTATTTATTCCTGTATTTATTCAATTTATTTATACTTAAGTAATTTTTCGTCCTCCAAACTGGCAGTCCTTTCAGTTGTACTCCTGCATTCCCTTCATAATTATAATGCTATAATGGTTGCAAAGTCCAACTTAACAAGAGGACAGAAAACCATCATTAATTAGATGTTTGAGTTATGTCAAAGATAACACAACAATATGGTCGTGAGCAGCTAAATGAGCAGCTTGCAGTGTATTTAGGATTTCAGAAAGATTTTGTTACATCATTGTACAAAATAGTGATTTTTTCCTCATTTTCCTCTCCATTCAATCCTGTTTTCTTTTCTAGCTTTTACATTTAAATACAAAACAGAGATCATTGATACAAAATCCGCCACATACAATGTTAGCCTCATATTCCCAGGTACAGTGCATCTGGGCCCTCCTGCTTGTATAAATCAATTACTGTTCAGTAACAATAGTGTCAGAGTGTGTCAGAAAATGTCACTGATTTAATTTGCTCAATATCAGAACTTATTTAGACTGGACTCCTTTTTTAATTTCCAACAGGCCACAACTACAAAGAATGCAATAGTTGTCCCTTTTTGACCTATGTTTGACTGCCTGTCCAGTTTTTAATGGTATTTTCAAGCATGTTTTCAAGGGATGAAATGATCTGACCTATGTTAATATAGCAACAAGAACATCAGACACAACGACGGAGAGAAAACACACAACTTGACAATGACACAGTCCCGGACTCAAAGATTGCCATTCCACTCTAGCAAAATGAGGCCATTGTGATAACTCTCCCGGGGTGCTGCGCTGAAAATAAACTGCCATTACTATATTTAAAAGCACATAACTCAAAAGCCCTGTGAATCAGCCTTAAAAAAAGGTCGTAGCACTCAAGCTAAAAATGTACGTGCTCCAACTTCAGAAGGATCTTTTGTCATTTCATTTGTTTCTAATTACCTGCAGCTTTCAGCATCTCCTGAACTAATTTTGGTCAAATAAATAATTTGTTCACATAGAGTCATGCTGTGAAGCTTCAATTGTAGATCAAAAAAACTTTTAGTTATTTTGAACTGATGCATTTTTCAGATGCGTCACTTTCACTTTTTTACCCACACAGATGGAAAAGAAGCTTTGTGTTGCGTTGCTGCACATTGATACACGTATTGTCAGGTTGAGGGTGAGCACCACCGCCATAGTAATGTAAATGCCCTCAGAATTAAAGCGGAAAAGAAATGATGTGACTTTAGGCCAGAAATGTGAGGGTTCCATATAGGAACAGCTTCCCCTCGGGGCGAAGTAATCATTTTTCTATAAACTGTGGTTGTGATTTATTTTAGTATAAAATCTGTTCCCACAAATGGAAATTGGTATTAAAGAACAAGAAATGTTTTTTTTCTTCTCTCGTCTAATAGGAAGGGAGAGGTGCTTAACGTTCCTAATAGAAAATGTTTCATGGGGGGGGGGGGGGGGGGGTAGAAAGGATTCTCGAGAGAAAAAAAGGCCGCTCATCTGGAGATTTTTGAAATAAATGAAAGAAATAAACGGAGCCAAGTGCCATGAATGCATGAGCCAATGACGCTGATACTGATTGAGACACTATAATGAATTCCATTACCAACCAGGTAACGGGATTACTGAACTTCCTGTTAACAAACATCCACTACAGCGAAGGTGTTTACAAAGAAATGTGACGAATGTCAACTTATCTTCAGGGTGGGGTGAAGATAAGTTGACATTCCTCCTCATCATAATGTTTGGACAGCATTTATCCTTCGCGTCTGCTGTCTCTTCTCAGAAAGCCATCTACATTTTCTAGAGCTGCACACAGACGTCCTTTTGGAGACGGACCAACATCATTAACATCACGCGGACCAAAGCGGACTCTTGCCGACACATGTGCAAAGTATGAATCGGCCTTTTACAGGGACTTTATGTGCATGTTGGTGGTATCCATTAATTAAGATAAACCTCAGTACATTCACCAGTCTCACCAAACATTTGTAAAAGTTTCTTATCATTTCAAATTCCCGTTTGAATTGTAAGTAATTACATTATTTTGACAGTATTTGAATGAATTAAAGAGTCATATCCACTCTAAAACCCAAAGAAAGCCAACCCGGCTCTCGTAACTGAAGTTAATCAAAAGTCTATCCCTTTCACATTGTGTGATCAAAGTTGGCCTTCTTCTTTCACGGACACTTTTCAGGTCCCCTGACCCTGCCCCGTAGTTGGTCTTCAGGGGGAAAAACACTTATCAAACACAGGATCTCCTTTAAAAAGCCCCACCACATTGTCACATTGTCATGTTGATGGCCCAGGGGTCCTGGCATAAAGAGCTATTGAGGAAGGAGACCTGAAAGCAAGCACCCCCCCCCTCCCCTGCCTCCACTGCCCCGCGAACACTCCTTTCACCTCAGGCTGCAGGCTGGGTGAAGGAGGAGCAGAGGGGGTGCTGGTGCTGCCGGACGTTTTGGGGGAAGGCGAAGATATTGACAAGGTGGTGGGCGGGGAAAAGTTTAAGAGGAAGTGGAGGGAGTTAACTAGCGTACATAATAGAGTGCCCTTGTAAAAAAAAATAGCTGAGCTGTCTGACTAAGATTTGTAACATTGCAGACTGATAATAGAACTCACTTTATAGAGCATTTTTTAATTTGTCATTTGTTCGATAAGCTTTGATTCAAAAGCGGCACACGACTGCGATGATTATCACTTACCGCCTAAAGTTAATTATTAACAAGTTCTACAGTGACAGTGTTTCTTACATGACATACATGTGTACACCTGGCCTTAAAATGCTTCTTGGGTGATCCAATCCCAAGGAGACAGCTCAAAGCAGCCTATGTAATGCATTCATACCTGTAGTGATTTGCATTGGCAGCCGGTTGGTGGTGTGTCACATTGCGGTCAGGGTTTGTGTTCTCTGTGTTTCAGTATGTATCAGTAATTGGGTCCAACGATTCTCCAAATATCTGAAGATCTGTTTGTGTCAAGCCTGGCGAAGAACTCAAGTCCGCCTTGCATGGGACAGTCAGAGAATAATTAAGTGTTAGAAGAGCTTCAAAGTTGACCTCTTGGACAAAAGACTGAAGGAATTGGTTGTCACCAACAGGTATATTTGGCAAGTGCTGGCACAGAGGATTGTGTTTCATGGGAGGGCTGGACAAAGAGGGAGAGGAGGACAGATGATTATGAAGAGTCAAACGGAGGGGGCAAAGGTCAGGCTTGATGTATTGTCCAGTGGGGCAAGCTGATCTAGTCTTGTCTTCCTCTCAGACTCAGCTTTGCTTCTCTTCTTGTCTCGGTGCCTTGTTAATAACTTGCAAGTAAGAGACAGAACATTGTAATATATTTTTTATTTAAGATTTCCCAACACAGCGGTAAGGAAAAATTTGTACTTACTCATATTTGTACTTAGTATATTGTGTAAATGCTGAAGTAAGATACATACTTCTACTATCTTACTGTTGGTTTAATGTAGATGGGTATCTTACATGCAGTGGCGGCTGGTTCATAGAGGGCAATGGGGCGTGGCCCCACTGAGCGACAGGAACAAAAAACGTTATCATTTTTGTTGTTTACTGAAACTGATTGGCTGGCCCTACCAAAAGGAATCCACCAGCCGGCCTGCTTACGTGTATTTTATATTCTCATAACAGCCTTCACAAGCCTTAAGAATTGTTCAGTGCACAGACCCCCACCCTTGATCACTCCGTATAGTGCACACCTCTGCAGAATCTTTGTGACTCTGTACTGTGCATTATCTTGGAAGAATACAATATAACATTTTAAAGACAAGTTGTGTTTGACATTATGCTTCCTTTTAGTTCATGAAGGGTAAATGATTTTTACAAACAGGGTTCCCTGAAGGATTGTTGATAGCGGTCCGTGAACTGGTCCTCCAGAAGGAAACTCCTTCTGCATTTGACTGGACACCACATTGGGAGGTGAGAGGATCTTTTTTATAACATAACCCTGCTTCATATATACTTACAGTAGCCACAACTTTGTCTCTAAGCTGTTTGGTGAGCTCCTCCTGAGCTCATGATGCTCTTTGTTCAGTAACGCTCTCTTACAAACTCTGAGGCCTTCACAGAGCACGTGTGTTTATACTGAGATTAAATTGCAGAAAGGTCAACCCTTTTTACTCACTATGTGACTAGAAAGTGTCACTTGTGATGCAATTGGTAACATCAGATCTGTCAGAGGTTTTACAGTAAAGGGGGGGATACTGTACACATGCCTTCCACAGAAACGGTGATACTCATGAAACACCTCGCAGCAGAAGGCCATGAAGCCGGGCTTATTAAGTTACAGCTTGTATAGCCACAGACAACATTTTTAGGACATTGCATCTCCAGTCATGGAAAGACTCTTTCTCAGGAATGCGTTTCTGCTACTGTAGACCAATGTCACTTTTAGCAATGTTCCATAGTAAACGCCTGTCCTCACATGACAAACTGACCTGGACACCTGGAGCAGAAGAAGAAGCTGTTATTGAACTAAAACTAGCCCGAACTTTGGGCTTGCCTCAGCCGACCACACTTCTATTCTCTCTCTCAAACTCATAGCAACTTCGTCCAGTAGCGTATTCCACGGCTGAACTATTGATCCAGATGCAGCAGGACATTTCTGTTAGTGTTGCTTCCAACACACAAAACCAGCAGAAGCATTTCTTTGTGTCAACAGTATGATGATACAACTTGTGAATTGTTG